ATTCTTGATTTTATTTATTTGGATCTTTTCCTTTTTCTTGTTGATCAAACTGGCTAGGGGGTATCAATTTGGTCAATTCTTTCAAAGAACCAGTTTCTGATTTCACTGATCTGTTCTACTGTTTTCTTGGTTTTGATAGCATTAATTTCTGCTCTAATCTTTATTATTTCCTGTCTTCTGCTGGTTTGGGGTTTTATTTGCTGTTCTTTTTCCAGCTCTTTAAGGCATAAGGTTAGGTTGTGTATCTGAGATCTTTCTTCCTTCTTTAGGAAGGCCTGGATTACTATGTACTTTCCTCTTATGATTGTCTTTGCTGCATCCCAGAGGTTTTGGGTTGTGGTGTTATCATTTTCACTGGCTTCCATGAACTTTTAAATTTCTTCTTTAACTTCTTGGTTAGCCCATTCATTCTTTAGTAGGATTTTCTTTCATCTCCAAGTATTTGTTACTTTTCCAGATTTTTTCTTGTGGTTGATTTTGAGTTTCATAGCATTGTGATCTGAAAATATGCACGGTATGACCTCAATCTTTTTGTACTTGCTTAGGGCTGATTTGTATCCCAGTATGTGGTCTATTCTGGAGAACATTCCATGTGCACTGGAGAAGAATGTATTTTCTGCTGCTTTAGGATGAAATGTTCTGAATATACGTGTTAAGTCCATCTGGTCTAATGTGTCATTCAAAGCCATTGTTTTTCTTGCTGATATTTTGATTAGATGATCTGTCTATTGCTGTGAGTAGGGTGTTGAAGTCCCCTACTATTATGGTATTACTATCAATGAGTTTATTTATGTTTGTGATTAATTGATTTATATGTTTGGGTGCTCTCACATTTGGTGCATAAATGTTTACAATTGTTAGGTCTTCTTCGTGGATAGACCCCTTAATTATGATGTAACGCCCTTCTTCATCTCTTGATACAGTCTTTATTTTAAAGTCTAGATTTTCTGATATAAGTATGGTTACTCTGGCTTTCTTTTGTTAACCATTAGCATGCTGGATTGTTCTCCATCCCTTTACTTTCAATCTGAAGGTGTCTTTAGGTCTAAAGTGGATCTCTTGTAAACAGCATATAGATGGGTCTTGTTTTCTTATCCATTCTGTTACCCTATGTCTTTTGATTGGGGCATTTAGTCCATTGACATTTAGAGCGAGTACTGAAAGATATGAATTTATTGCCATTATGTTGCTTGTAGAGTTGGAGTTTCTGGTGGTGTTCTCTGGCCTTTTCTAGTCTTTGTTGCTTTTGGTCTTTATTTATTTCGGTTTTCTTTTTCATCTTCTCTCCCCTCAGGGAGTCCGCCTTAAAATTTCTTGCAGGGCTGGTTTAGTGGTCACAAACCCCTTCAATTTTTGTTTGGGAAACTTTTTATCTCTCCTTCTATTTTGAACGACAGCCTTGCTGGATAAAGACTTCTTGGCTGCATATTTCTCTCATTCAGCACATTGAATATATCCTGTCACTCCTTTCTGGCCTGCCAAGTTTCTGTGGATAGGTCTGCTGCAAACCTGATCTGTCTCCCCTTGTAGGCTAAGGACTTTTTTTCTCTTACTGCTTTCATGATTCTCTCCTTGCCTGAGTATTTTGTGACTTTGACTGTGATATGCCTTGTTGATGGTCCGTTTTTGTTGAAATCTACTGGGAGTCCTCTGTGCTTCCTGGATTTTGATGTCTATGTCTTTCCCCAGGTTAGGAAAGTTTTCCACTATGATTTGCTCACATAACCCTTCTACCCCTATTTCTCTCTCTTCCTCTTTTGGGACCCCTATGATTCTGATATTGTTCCTTTTTAATGAGTCACTGATTTCTTTAATTCTTATATCCTGCTCTTTTGCCTTAATCTCCCTCTTTTTTTCTGCTTCATTATTCTCCAAAGGTTTGTCCTCTATATCACTGATTGTCTGCTCTGCCTCATCCATCCTTGCCACCATGGCATCCATTTGAGATTGCAGCCCAGTTATAGCATTTTAATTTCATCCTTACTAGCTTTTACTTCTTTTATCTCTGCAAAAAGGGATTCTAATCTATTTTCAACTCCAGCTAGTATTCTTATTATCCTGATTCTAAAATCTGGTTCAGACATCTTGCTTGTATCTGTGTTGGTTATGTCCCTGACTGTTGTTTCTTCTTGATCTTTCTTTTAGGGTGAATTCCTTCATTTCATCATTTTGAAGGAAGAAAAGGAATTAATGGGGTAAAACAAATTAAAATTTTAAAAATATTAAAATGAAAAAAATATTAAAATTTAAAAAATTAAAAATAAACACATTCACACAAAAAAATCGAATAAATGATCCAAGGTGTGTTTTGGTCTGGGTGTTGAAAGGAGCTTTGTAGATTAGAGAAAAAAGGGGAAAGAAAAAAAAGGAAATCATTTGAAAATTTGAAAAAATGAATACACAGAAGGAGACTAAACTGAAATGATGGCAGTAAAATAGAATTTGAAAAAATTTACACAAAAGTAAAAAATATAGTAGAAAAAAATTAAAGAAACATATTTAATAAAAATTGAAAATAAAAATGAATTTCTTCTCTTTCTGTATTCAAGAAAAAGAAAAGAAATGAAAAAGAAAAAAAAGAAAAAGAAACAAGAAATAAAGAAAGTTTTTAGATGGACCAGTGAACAGACTGAAATGTCTGAAATTACTTCATTTTTCCCTAGAAGTCAAACTATGAAGCACTTTATAGTCCATAAACTAAGCAGGAGGAGAGACTTGTGATCCTGAAGAGCAAGGTTGGCCCAGTTGGGTGGGGCTTAGTGTAACAGCTCCATTCTCCACTAGATAGCGCTGCTTAGCTTACTGGGGTGGATTGTTGTGGCGCTTGTAGGTGCATATGCACATGAGCAGGAGTGGTGAAAATGGCATCACCTAACTACCCAGTCTCTAGTATCAGAACTCTCTTCTCCCCAATCAACAATCGCACACCCGTCCTTTGTCTTCAGCTTTCATCCACTCCCCACTTTTACACTGTTGTGACCAAGTCCCAGTAAGCACTTCCCTCCTGAGTTTTGTCTGATATGTGGCTGTTTTTCCCGACTCCTTACTTCTGAGGGACAGCAGCTTTGACCCGTTCTGCCCTTCTGTGGAGGGTCTCACAAAGCAATGGCTGGTGCTGGCTGCACCCAGGAACATTTGCAGAACCATGCTGCTGCCAGTACCCAGAAACTGTGGCTAGGTGCCAGCCTGCCCCAGAAAAAGTTTGCGAGAGAGTGTACCAGCAGCATTTCAGGGATTAGGGAAAGTCACAATACACATCTGGCACCAGGCTTCACCCTTAATGACCTTGTTCCAGCACCAGCGAATGTGGTTGTTCTCCTAGGTCCACTGGGGCCTTGCCTATGGGGAACCCACACAACCTCTACCAGGTGTCCTTTCAGCAAGGGAACCGCCTCTCCCCATGTGGCCTGAAGAACCCCGGACTCCACTCTGCTCCTGGGGATTCACCCTTCCCACCAAAGCTCCTCCAGGTATCAAGCTTCAGAGTTTCAGTCTCTGGGCTCCCCCTGTTTATAGTCTTAATGGAATTTAAACCCTCTCCTTTCTCCTTTATCCCTTTTTAGTTCAGTCCCTGCGGCTATTTCCACTTTCCCGCTTTCTCTCCAGCTGCTTTTGGGGCACGGGGGTGCTTTTCCCATATTCTCCCCTCCCCCCATCTCTGTCCTCTCTCCGCATGCAAAACAGCTCCCTGCCCTCCGTGGCTTCTCTCTCCCCAAGTCCGCCTTTCCACACTGTGTACCTGCTGAGTTCTGTGGTTCAGTTTGTGCAGATTGTTGTGTTAATCCTCAGATCAGTTTTCTGGGTGTGCAGGATGACTTAGCATTGGTCTGGCTGTATCTCATGGACGCAAGACACACAAAAAACATCCATGCTGTTCTGCCATCTTTGCTCTTCCCCAGAAGTATTCTCTTTAAAATCAATAATACCTCCATCACACCTTCCAGCCAACATGTCATTGGAGAACTCGTCAGAGCAATGTTTTTTGGGTTTTGTTTTTATAGAAAAACCAAAACCACTCTACAGATATATTTTAGAATAAAAAAGCTTAACAAGCTGTGTGAATAATCAAGAAATTAATACATTTGTCCACAACACCAATAAACAGTTTAAAAGCTTTATTTTTTAAATGCCATTTACAATAACAGCAAAAATATAAGGTATTTAGGGAAGGCACTTGAGAAAAAAAGTGAAGATCTTCATAGGGAAGTTTATTTGAAAAGTGCTGGAAAACGAGTAGATAAATGAGAACATTGCCAGGTTCACTGATAGGGGAGTCTAGAGGGCAGATTCAAATGCATCCAAGTGTATCTATATATTTAATGTTACTGTAATCAAGGATTAAGAAGATTGGGGGAGCACTGAGGATGTGCTGCTTCTAAAATTTATATGAAAGACCAAATGGGTTTTCCATGTTTTTCCATGAAGCAGAGACAAGCCATCCCCACTCAGCCCTCTTTGCATTTCTGATCCACAGAAACTGTGCACATATAAAATGTTTTATGTCATTAATTTGGGGGTAGTTTGTTACACAGGAGTAGGTAACAGGAATGTCCCTCATTCACAAAGGACTATGGTAACACTGCACTGCCTTCTTCTCCTTCTAGATCCTTCCATGTCCACAGGTGACTTCAGTATTCACCAATGACCATTAATTACTGTACTCTAGTCTCCCAGTTCCTTGACCTCGTGAACACTCACAGGGATGTCCTCATCTAAGCCACCTCAGCTGCCTTCTTTGAATTATAAAAAAAGAGAGTCTTGGAGATTTTAATGGCCACCTGTGAGGGTTTAGGATAAGAGACAAATGGAGGCCTCATCTTACCCCCCGTCCCCCATCTAAAGATACTATGACTCCTGCCTGGGGTTGTCAACAGGCAGGACACTGAGCAGAGATGCAGGTCACAAAGTCACCATGCCAACCCCCCTGTCCATCATAACAAGGCCTTCTGCCCCAGCTGCGTGGGGGAAGGGCCAGCAGGTACTGGGCCCATCGCCCCAGAGCCAGCTGTTTGCCTCTTCCGCCCAAAGGGCAGATAGCAGGTGCAGGCTTGAAGTGCGCCTTGGGAAAGTGCTGCTGGGAACCTAAGCCCCAGGGCACAGGCGGAGTCTCCAGAGGCAGCCGCCTGAGGTGACCTGAAGCGGCCAGCAGCCAGCAGCTCCAAGAAGGTGGCCAGGAAAATGGGGAGCTACGGCCTGGGTGTGCCGGGTCCTGCGCTGTTTCTGCTGCTGGTGCTGCGGCCTCCGCTGCTGAAAGCCGGAAGTTTGCGGCACAGTGTCCGGGGCTCCAGAGACCTGCATGGCCTCGTTCTAAGTGGGAAAAGCCTCCATAACTACCTCCGCCCGAAGGGGGGAACTGTCCACCACCTCCGCAGCCACTATTCCCGGGATAACCCGGCAAAAGATACAAGGCAATCCTGCCAGAGCGCATATGACCTTTACTTCATCTTGGATAAGTGAGTGGTCCTCCTGCCCTACCCAGCGCCCCAGCGTGGTGTGGTCCCTGAAGTCAATATGGGCAGGTGGTGGCCAAAGGGGATGCCAGCTTCTGTGAGTGGAGGGGCCAGGGAGTAACCTTGGTCAGAGCCAAGGAACCTCTGTGTCTCCCCTTGTTCCTGAGGGAGAAGGAATGCCCCCAAAATTTGTTCTCTGGGATTTTTCCTTTTTGAGAGAATAAAAGGCCACCATAAGGTTTCTGAATGGCTCTCAGTCCTCCCACCAGCATGGACTGGATCTGTGGCCTGCATGCCCCTTAAATAGCTGGATAGGCAGGTGACTGCTAGAAGTTCCTTCTCAGCAGTTGTTAGAAGCTCGCTGGGTTTCAGTTTCTACTTTGTGAGGTGTTTTGCTTATGTTGTTTTCCACCCAAGTGAGTGAAAAGTTTTATTTTTACTGGCCCCAGAGAGATTATGTGTTGCTTCTACTGGGCATTCTCATAGTGTCACATTTTGGAAATTCCTTTGTTTTCCCGGGGCACCTGGGTGGTTCAGTCATGCATCTCTCTCCTTTTATTAATGTTTTATTATTTGTTTATTTTTGAGAGAGAGAGAGAGAGGGAGACACAGAATCTGAAGCAGGCAGCAGGCTCTGAGCTGTCAGCACAGAGCCTGACTTGGAGCTTGAGTGGGGCTCGAGTGGGGCTTGAGTGGGGCTCAAACTCACAAACCGTGAGATCATGACCTGAGCTGAAGTCAGATGCTTAACCGACTGAGCCACCTAGGCGCCCCAAGCGACTGACCCTCGATTTTGGCTTAGGTCACCATCTCACAGTGATCAAGCACCTCAGCGGGCTCTGCCCTGACAACCGGGAGCCTGCTTGGAATTCTTTCTCCTTCTCTCTTTCTGCCCCAACCCCATCAAAATAGATAAATAAACTTTAAAGAGAAAGAAAGAAAGAAAGAAAGAAAGAAAGAAAGAAAGAAAGAAAGAAA